GTGCGTGTTGGAGAAACCCAGTGTATTCTATTGTAGAAGAGTTATACGGCGAGCAAGTGATTGTAGTCGCCTTGCAGCGTCCGTTCTCAAGAGTGGTATGGCCGTACGCAGGTCTTGGTCATGAGCCGATCGAGCAGCTTCATCCGCGCGGTCATTGCCGACAATTACGCAATGACTCGGCAACCACTGAAATACAATATCGTGACCTTGCTTGAGCGCTTCGTGGTAGTCGTGTCTTATCTGATATACGAATTGTTCGTGTAACCCGTGCTGCATAGCAAACCGTAGTGTCTGTAAGGCAGACCTCGAGTCACAAAAGATGGCCCATTGGTGAGGTTGCTGCCGAAGAATGTACTTTACTGCACCTTGAAGTGCTGCAAGCTCTGCTGCTGTCGACGTCGTGGTGTGAGAGAACTTGTATCGAAGCAACACATTATGAGAAGGAACAACCACTGCTCCTGTAGAGCTGTTACAATTAGTGGAGCCATCGATGTAAACATGTATGTGGTCGAAGTACCTTTCGTCCAACAAACTCAAAGTCAATTGTTTCAGGGCTAGCTGTGACATGCGTGCCTTTTTAACAATTCCAGGAACTGATAAGCGCACGTCAGGTTGACGGATACTCCATAACGCAGCTGCTGGATGCGTCGCAAGTTTGAAGCCAGGCGGTAATATGTCCTGATGTTTTGTCACATTACCGTAGAATGAATTATGAGACCTCCACGCTCTCAAAGACGCTAAATGATGTGATGGTAGCCGTGATAAATGCCGAATGTGCGCTATCAGCGTTTCGACAATTATATGCGTTGTGACCGGCTGTTCTTGTGCGATAACAATAGTTGCCACTGTTGATGAGCAGCTTAAAAGGCCAAGACATGTCCGAAGGGCTTGTGCTTGTACGCTCTGTAGTGCACGGATGTTAGTCTTGCACGTGCTGGACAGGACAGGAAGGCTGTACTGGAGAATTCCGAGAAAGAGGGCCGTATAAAGCTGCAACATGGAGTGCACGAATGGTCCCCATGATTTTCCGGCGAAGAACTTGAATACACTCTCAATGCCAATGAGCTTTTTCTTCAGGTATGCGACATGCGGGCTCCAGGTTAGGTCACGATCTACGATGACACCTAAGAATCTATGACTACTCCTATATGCGATTGCTCTGCCATCGATGCACAATGGGTAAAAAGACATCGATTTGCATGTAAACGCCACCGCTGTGCATTTTTCTGTGGCGATAGTCAAACCTTGCTGGCGAAGGTATGCCGATGTCATTGTTGCCGCTTTCTGTCTGCTTGCGCGCACTTGAGGCCGTGTCACGCCGGACGCCCAAATGCAGATATCATCAGCGTAGAGAGCTGTCTGTGGCAGCGTTTCGGTGAGCCCCACCAGAACCAGGTTGAAAAGAGTCGGACTCAAAACGCCGCCTTGTAGCACCCCACGACTTGTGAAATGCTTATTCGTAGGCCCACTTCAGTTAGAACGAACATGGATCTCTTTGTGACGTAGCTTTTTACACATCGAAAGACACGACCTCCAAGAGCATTGAGAACAGCCTCATGGGTCACCTTGTCATAGGCACCTTTCACGTCTAAGAACAGAGCTACCGACAGTCGCTTTTTAGCTTTCTGTTGCTGAACAGAGGTCCCTAAGTCAATGACACTATCAATTGAAGACCGACCTCGTCGAAAGCCTGCCATAGCGTTAGGCTAGATGTTATAACGTTCCAGGTACCATTCCATGCGTGTAAGCAGCATCCTCTTCATGACCTTGCCGATGCAGCTTGCTAGTGCTGTAGGCCGGTATGATGTCAAATCCAATGGAGACTTTCCGGGCTTCAACAAAGGCACCAGGCGACTGCACTTCCACTCATCAGGCACTATTCCATCATGCCAAGACTTATTGAAGATGTCCATGAGACAGCGCTGGGCCTGCGGGCCTAGGTGACGTAGGGCAGTATAGGTCACTCGATCTGAACCTGGGGACGATGAGCGTCTGCGTGTGTTCAATTCCGCATGAAGTTCTTCCATAGTGAATGCAGCCTCCATTTGCTGATCTCGTGCAACTGGAGAGTCCTGTGGCAATAGATCGATCGGTATAAAGAATTCGCCAGCGATCTTTGCACAAAATTCACCAGACACATCTAGCTGTGATCGACGTCGATATAGCGCCAGAGCGGCGAAGGGATGGCGCTGTTGCGAATGTTGAGTGAATATCTCGAAGAGTCCTCCATACGGGAGACAAAGGCTTTCGAGGGTCTAGTGAGTCACAAAAACTCTTCCATCGTTGCTCCTGGAGTTTGTGCATTTGAAGCTGGATTTTCTTCTGAATGCGTCTGGATTCTCTGAGGCCATAGATAGATTGCGTGCGTCTGTATCGTCTTTCGGCACATCAGCGGACCCCTCGAAGTTGTTACAATTCTAGGTCAAGTGCGGTACGTCTCGATTATTTCAAACATATCTTCATGGAAGTCTACATCACACAGCAAATCACTTCTTCAATGGATTCCGGCGGCTCGTGCATGCACTTGCTCTCCACTGATATATGATACTCTTTCCAGTCAATATGTCTCGAGTGTCCAGGGGAAGAAGAATTGTCTAGACCTCTGACTGTCACGTACGTGGGGATGTGGTCACTGCCGTTGGTTTCAATATCCGTGAACCATTGGACTTTCGTGACAATGCTATGAGACACTAATGTCAAGCCCAGGCAACTGCTATAAGTTACTCCTTGGAGATAAGTAGGGCTGTCGTAGGACTCTTAACAGAGCACTCATTGAGCTTTTAGGGGCCAACAGGGGCGAAGCTTTTCAAGGTGTAGGTAAGCCCTGTCACGTCATGGCCACCTGCCAGTACTCGCAGTGCTCACTAGATGGCACTGCGGCACTCGCTCCCATGGGATACATTAACCTCTCCTTCTTCCTTGGATACATCCAGCCATCCCGCTGGTTCAGGCGGCAGCAACTTGAGAGTGGCATGGCAGCTTGGGCTAGTTGGTATGGCATGACGATAGTTATAGCGCGAGAACAAAACGACAAAACAGAGACAAGAAGGACACGAAGGACACGATCGCTCGTGTCCTTCCTGTCTCTGTGTCGTCGTTTTGTTCTCACGCTATAACTATCGTCTTGACAGCGGCGGGCGCGAGTCGTCGTAGCCATCTGCTAGTACTTCGCGTGCTCACTAGACAGCGCTGCAGTGATCGCATCCAGCATCAGTTCGTTCACGCAGCAGCAGCTCGATATCGGCGAGCGCGAGTTCATGGATGGACGAAGGGCTCAATCGAGACCTGGCGTTCATGCGGGGCGTACCCAACACGGTGCAATCCTGGCAAGAACGCCGCAAGGAACTCTTTGCCATGATTCGCAAGCTGGACAAACCACACGCCTTTGGCTACGAGTGACATTCACGGTTTACCGATGTACCTCCAGAGCTTCGCCCACTCATCATCATTCACCTCATGGATATCCTGTGACTTTTTTCTGTCAACTGGGCTTTTAGGAACCGCCGTAGCTAGCCTAAATTGGACAGCTTGTTTGGTGCTTGGTGCTGCAAAAGACACCTTGGCATTTGCGTTGCTGCCAATAATCTTGCACATGTGCGAGACGTGCCTTATAATTGAGCATTTATGCTACAGTCACTCCCTTCCCGGGGAAGCAGATGGTTGAATACGTGAGCTCATTTTTCGTTACATAATCTATTGAAAGCTATTGCAGCCTGCACGTCGTATACTTCGTGTTCCTGTTCTCTCTGTGTGCTCTAGGTAGAACTCCTCGTTTTCGGAGTCTATTTTTCTGGAAACTCAGATGGGGATCATTGATGTTTTTTAGGAAGTGTGGCGTTTGTATGGGACTTAATTTCTCGTAAATCTCTGATTCTCCAAAATTCGTAGTTTACTTTTCTAATACAAGTTGTCGCAATTGTATTCTTATAACTCTTCTTTCCACTGAATATACTTTGCTTTGATGATGACAATCCTGTCTCTCTATGCTTTCATTTTTTCTCGCCTCCTGTGTTAATATGGCTGTGTCTGATTCGTGCATTGCTGTAAACTCGCGCCAAAATGTAATTTTTCGGAAAGAGGGCTGGAGCTGCTTCTCAGCTTTTTCTCCCAGATTCACTCATCTCCTTGACCGAAAATAAAGGACTTACTACTAATTTAATGAAACTCATTACTCAGAAATCTTAAATGAAGTGATATATGAACGCGAGAACAGAGAACACGCTGAGCGTATTTTAGATGTCCGGACGGTTTGAACACAGGAGCACATATACACACAAGCACATTTCTTGAATACTAGACGCATATGTTTGAAATACAACCTTAAATGAATATACGAACTGCGCAACCAAGACGTAGCTACAGGGTAACTATGGAAGCAATAAACTCTAACAGAAAGGAACGTTGGACAGAAAAGAGCGTATATTCAGTTATGTCCTATGCCAACTTTCCCAAGTTTTCACGCTTCGCAACCTTAAAGCTTGTTCTAGTAGACGCGAGCATACAATACAAGGTTGCTGCTGATGATAGAGGAGTGTTCTTTGCTATTCTTGACTCTCAGCTTTCAGAATGGTCTTTTAGCGGTGAGAATAGTCTTTTTAAATTGGAGTTTATCGAATAAATCCGAATCATCAGCATTTGACTGGTGAATGTTAATAAGATTTTTCCGATTTATCCGAAAACGCAGAGGGAGCCCTTGCTGTTGGTGTTAAGACGAAGTATGTCAAAATGTCCAAGTTGACGTTTTTTAAAAGAAAATTGTATCTGTCCCTTTCAATGATAATACGACCTGGAAGACGGTTCCATTTCGGTATTGTTTTGATGGAGAAGGAAAAAGCGCGTGTTTTGCAGGGTTATTCTGATATTTTTTTCGCAAATCATCTCCCACAACTAAGACACACGTTGCATTAGGAGGGACGTTTTGCAAATCAATACAACATATATGATGTTATGTCATGATAGTTAAAAATATTCAATGTGATCTTTTTTGCGCCGCAAAACAGCCTGTCACAGCCATTCGAGGGCGTACTCCCCGTGTACCTCAGTGCGTGTGATTCCGGGACGGTGCGCTGGAACCACGTACGCGGTGCCTTGCGGATTGTGCTACAGGCGCAACGAGAGTTCCAGGCGTGCTTCCGGGTCTCAGCTGACAGTTCCGGGGCGCTGGTGTACGTTGCCCCTCGGGGTAATTTACTTCCTGGCCCTGGCTTGCGGGCCAAGTGCGTGCTCTCCAACCGAGCATCGGTCGTCGTCTACGCGGTCGCCACGGCAGCCGCTCGGGCCGGGAGCAGACTGAGTTTGACGTACACCACGAGCCAGCAGCCGGTGGCATCATACGAGAGACTCCAAGGATGGGAAGGTGGGCATACCACCGACTCGACTTGTACGCTGCATGCGCGTTCGCATGACAGGCACTTTAGATATGTGTGCTTCACCCTTCACCCACGCTGCCAGATTTGTACATGGTCAGCAATAGGCACTGAATTTGGTGATGCATTTTGCTTCGCATTGAAATTGTCACTAGCAGTGTTGCCTTTATATACACGGGGTTCTTTGAACTCAGTCTGTTCAAAGCCGGAGTGCGATTTGCTTTATTACGTTTACTATACTGTGACAAAGACGGCTGTATAAGCTGGTCGACATTGCGGTTAGATGTAACTTTATCTCTGTCCTGTACCTAGTGCTTATTCACGAGGAACCACTGCAATATGGTTTTAGTGCGACATAAATAGACATTTCATCTGATCACAAGGGTGTCCTGTTGCAATTGAACGGGATTCATCAACCTTGTAACCTGAGATTCAACACCATTACTTATTTCACACACGCTAATGATTGTGTGATTGTTGAGTGGATATAGAATCTTCTTTCGGTAGTTTCATAGCAAACAGTGAATCATGCAGGGTTTATGCATTGTTAGGACAGTTTTGCCACTTAGCTTGCACCTGTCTGATGCCGTTCAACCATCAAAACTTATGAAAAAGACAACCCGAAGCATCCTTGGTACACACTTGACGTAATGCACATCATACGGCACATTAGGCGAACTGAAACAACCTCTATCTATTCCTTTTTTTTTTTGCTCAAGCCAAAGCTCAAGGCAAAGATCACATTCGTGAATGATGACCCATCAAAATTTAGGAAATCAGTCCTTCCCTCTGTTCATGGTTCTATCAACAATCAATGTTACTCTGATCGTGTCGCAGTTTCTGTAGGATTTATTGACAACTTTGACTATATTTTCAGCATGGTCTCATCTTCCTTTCATTCATAGCTCGGAAGATGCGTTTCCTGGTCTCACGCGGTAACTCACACAGGGGTTCATAACCTCTGGCTAACAGTTGACATGACAGAGAGCGCGGGTGTCTTATGTCCTTGATTGGAGCTACCATTATTTCACCGTGATCTTCAAATAATCCCTGCGCACACAAACTATTCCCAAAGCTTAAAAAATTGCCAGCGTCATTCCAGTATTTACATCTAGTAATAAACAACTCACAGTAAATTATAGACCACACCTCTGCAACACTCTTTGGAAACCTGGGCACATTAAGCGAACTTTAAAAAATGAAATCTTAAAATGTGAAGCTTGCCCCCTAAAAATCACTAGTTCGTCCGATGCTAGACCAAACAACTGTTACGCCCCCCCCACCCCTCCTCATGGGTACCTACAAGCAGCTCAAATCAGTTCAGAAAAAAAAAAGACTATCAAAATCATCTTTGGCCGTTATGATCGCAGTTTCTCACCTTCATCGCATGCTTAATACAGGCTTTGGAGCAGAGGCGCAAAGCGAACGAGTAGTTTACTACACAAGATCGCCCACACACCATCTGGTATTCAGGCACATCTCTCTTTCATATCCTGATAATGCACGTGCCACTCGACTTAACCACAGATTAAACATTATTCCGTACAGGACTCACATGGGTGGATGATGGAACTTGATTTATAGTCCTGAGAGATGCAACTAGCACTCAGTAGGTTTTCTCCCACTTTGGGATGGGCAGGCTAAGCCGGACCGCCGCATCATGGCCCGAAGCTGATCTCCCTTGTTAGGGCTCTTAATAGCGATGCCCACACACAGATCGACTGTTTTAAAGTATCGCTTTCTCTGTTCAGTAATAAAATGTGAAACAACTTCGGCGGATCGCTTCGTGCATCGACTCATGAAGAGTTTGTCGAAAAATTATCGGACCCTATCAAAGTTGATTCTGTTTTGTATTAACCTTGCAGCAGTTCTTTTTCTGTGTTCGCGCATGATGTATACTCGCACTTGATGCATCTGTACTTGCACCTTATAGATGATCGTGTGTACCATTTATGTAAGCACATCATATAATCATGCATTTGTATAGTTTTACCAGCATTTTTTGTTGTTGATGCTGCTGTTTGCACTAAAATATCTAACTACCCCGGCTTTGTCTTGAATTCGAGACCACCGTATTTGTATATAAAGTGTCATCAGGTTGCATTTCGCAGTGAGTGTCACAATCATGCCTTCACACAAGCATAGTTCTCTCAAGGACACTTACGCATTTTTTTCAGACTGCCGGCCATGCACGGCGACGGAGCTACGTGAAAGTTACTGCCTGAGTGATTTAGGTGAGTCGCAACTTTACACACGGTGAGAATCCCACACGGTGTTCCGCCAATGAATGACAAAATTAACTTGAGACAAAACGATAGATAGACAGACAGACAGACAGACAGATAGATAGATAGATAGATAGATAGATAGATAGATAGATAGATAGATAGATAGATAGATAGATAGATAGATAGATAGATAGATAGATAGATAGATAGATAGATAGATAGATAGATAGATAGATAGATAGATATGTGGGGTTTAACGTCCCAAAACCACCATATGATTATGAGAGACGCCGTAGTGGAGGGCTCCGGAAATTTCGACCACCTCGGGTTCTTTAACGTGCACCCAAATCTGAACACACGGGCCTAGAACATTTCCGCCTCCATCTGAAATGCAGCCGCCGCAGCCGGGATTCGAACCCGCGACCTGTGGGTCGGCAGCCGAGTACCTTAGCCACTAGACCACCGCGGCGGGGCCTTGAGACAAAACGAGAAGGGCCGCACGACAAACACTAGTGGCAGCTTTTTTATGAAAAGAAAATTTTTAGAAGCAACTGTTGTCACCATTGCCTGGTGATGGCTGCTCCTTTCCACTTGGTTAATATATTCGCCTGTCATCGTCTTTTTCCGCGTTAACTTCGCGCTCACATTCGTCAGGATGCAAACAGCATGTTAAGACTCTGTTCTTCTTCTAAGTGTTCTGCTTCATCATATATTATAGGCTGCAGCTTCTGTAGCTGTATCTGCCGCTTTGTGGGACGGCCAAATTGCCCACTCATGTATTCCGAGTAAATAAATTGGCAGATCCTACCTACAGTGGAAATCGATGACATGCAAAGCACGAATGATAAATGTTGATATGTCATGACGATAGTTATAGTGCGAGAACAGAACGACGAAAAAGAGACAAGAGGGACTTTGTCGTCGTTCTGTTCTCGCGCTATAACTATCGTCATGTCATACCATCTAGCCCAAACTGCCACACTTCTAAGTTGACATGTCACTTTAAAATCAGCTCAACTTTACGAGGGGGAAGTAAATGATGCCATACATGACTTCCTTGTCATGATTATCATGTTTGGATGTGTCGTTTACCTTCGTCATCTATTCAGGTCACGTGATACCATATTTAGTATATGTGGAGCTAGCGAAACGGCCGCGAGCACGCTATACGCATGGTATGTTCTCATGTTCTTACATGACACGCACGTCAGGATCATCATGTCTGCACCAGTCATATATTTCGTCATTATTGACGTCACGTAACACCAAATTTGGCATATGTGGAGCAAGCAAAACGGCCGCGAGCGCATCATGAAGAGCCCAATGTACTCCAATGTAGCGTTGATGCGCGCGCACGCTGGGGACAGTGACACTATACACGTTAGCAAAACGCGAGCTCTCTACAGTCTGACGTCAGGCGTGACCAGCGTCTGTCGGCGCGGCTCGAAAGCAACCGGAGCGAAATGCGACATGCTGCATATCGCTCGGATGCGCTACCCAGACAACACTGCATCTCCCTCTTTTCGTGACGGAGGGACGCCAGACGCGTTGAAACGCGCATGCGTCAAAGCAACGCAGCGCGGCGCGCACCTGCGAGTATATGGCAGGACCGGCGCCTGGCGTGGCAACGCCGGCGTGACGTGAAGAAATGAACGCCGGCGAGCACGCGCACCCCGTCACGTCGAAATGTATTGGCGCCTTGACTGTGGCATGTAGTCATGTTCTCACATGACACGCATTTCTTGTCTATCATGTTTGAACCTGTCATTTACCTATGTCATCCATTCGCGTCGCGTAATGCCGAATTCGGTGCATGTGAAGCTAGCGAAACGACCCGGAGTACATCATCAGCGTGGCATGTAGTCATGTTATTTGTTACATGACACGCATGTCGTGATTATCATGTTTGGATGTGTCATTTACCTATGTCAACAGTAAGCGTCACGAAATACGGAGTTTGGGACATGTGGAGCACGCGAAACGGCTGCGAGCGCATCATTAGGGTAGCATGTAGTCATGTTGTTACATGACACGCATCTCATATGTTTATCATGTTTGCACCAGTATCATACCTTCTTCATCTATTCGCGTCCCGTAATAACAAATTTTGTATGTGTGAAGCTAGCGAAACGGCCTGCCAGTGCGTCATGAGCGTGGCATGTAGTCATGTTACATGACACGCATTTCATCATTCTCGTGTTTGCACCAGTGACATACCTTCGTCATTCATTCACGTACTGTAATACCAAATTCGGTATATGTGATGCTAGCGAAACGGCCGCGAGCGCATCATGAGCGTGGCATGTTGTCATTTTGTTACATGACACGCATGTCATGATTTTCATGTTAGGGTCTGTCGCTTGTGTTCGCCATACAATCATGCCATACCATACCAGTTTTGCAGCATGCCATCTGAACGAAACCACGGCAAAAGCTGCAGGACCATGAAGTGTAAATCATGACATACATGTCATGACTTTCATGTTGCGACTTGTGAAATATGTTCTTCATGCAATCATGTTATGTCATACCAAGTTTGGTATGGATACCATTAGAGAAACGGCCAGAAGAGCTAAAAATCTTTGGCGGCTAAAATGGATGGATGGATGGATGGATGGATGGATGGATGGATGGATGGATGGATGGATGGATGGATGGATGGATGGATGGATGGATGGATGGATGGATGGATGGATGGATGGATGGACGGATGGACGGATGGAGGGACGGACAGACGGACGGATGGACGGACGGATGGACGGACGGACAGACGGACAGACGGGCGGACGGACGGCGAAAAAGCGATGAATGCGGCGACGGAGAGGATATCGTTGCTGTGTCTATCACAGTACTAATCTGGACCTGGATTTGCGAGGCTTTTTGTTCGTTAGTGTGATTGGCCAGCCCGTTTTGCCAAAAATATGCCCAGCATCCGGGTTTGTTCAAAAATATGTCTCTTACGAACGATGCTAGCGTAAGACGGCTTCGTGAATACAAGCCCTGCATTTAGTAAAATATGAAAATGATATGGCCCTCTGATAAAAGTCCTTATAGTGTTTTTAGACAACGGACTGATCCCCGGACGGCTGAGCCACATGAAAGCAGAAACGCGACTGGTCAGGCCGCTATCGCAGTACAACCGCGCGGTCCACCACGAAAAATCGCGGGCCGATCGCCAACCGCAATTGCCGTTTTCGAAGGGGAACCACATGTTCCGCCACCGGCTCCCAAAAAAAGGGCGAGAACGCCACCCCTCCCCAGGATGGGCGGCGTGGGAAGTGCTTTGACCCGAAAGCGTTGATGGCCCGCCTCGCTTCCCGGACCAAACCGAAAGTGGGGAGCCACATGGCGTCAAGCATGCGGGCGATTTGGTCTGTTCGATCACTTTTTGCGATCACTACGGATGACATTGCACACGCGCGCCAATTAGTCACGCTGCTAAACTGAGTGCTTTGAACCGCATTTACAATTAGCGCTCAACTACGGCATATGTCGTTCACTCTAGTACAAAATTTACTGGATTTAAGAGCTTCCGAAAGCGATTGCTTCACTTTAAAAAACGACTGAGGCCTATAGTTTCTCCCACAGATGTGTCTAGCGCTATTTTCTGTATTGCTTTGTCGTTGCTTTTACATCTTGCAAGCTAGCCAAATTCATTTCAGGAACCGTTTTCCAGTGAGATAGTTTAATTTATCCAGACTATGTCATGTACTTGCAGTTCACTCAAAATATCTTTTCGTTATGGAAGATGAATTATGTTCTGATCGAATTGTAGCGTTGATTTCACACCATATACATACTACGTGTGAAATAAATATAGTCGGTAATTGGGGCGCGAACGCCGGAGTGGGGGCGAGTGCAACGCTATAGCCTGGTGCGTTACCGGGATGGTGGATTTAGATCCATTGAGCTGTATGGGGCATTCTCGCAGGCACTGCATGCTTTGAATAATTTGAGCCGCTAGTTCGTGTTCTGTTACGACAATCGCACGTGTGTCCCGCGCACAAAGCACAGGATTGACATCCAGTCTTCATTATATGCAGTGGTGTACAGTTTAAATTACTGTTGAGATGACCAAGCACGCCTTTTTAAATCCGACGAATTTTTTGTCAAACTTCGGCGAATTCGGCCGTATCTATCTATCTATCTATCTATCTATCTATCTATCTATCTATCTATCTATCTATCTATCTAGCCACCTACGACCTGTAGCTTTCCCGGCCGTTTTGATTATGGGATCTGTACCAAAATCGATATGGCATAACATGACTGTATGAGAAGCATAAGTGACTAGTCATAACACTAAATTCAGGACATGTATGTCTTTAATGTCATGATTTACATGTAATGATCTTGCTGTTGTTGCGGTAGTTTCGTTCACGTGACATATTGCAAAACTGAAATGGTATGACATTACTGCATGGCCACCATAAGTGTCAGGCCCTAACGTGGAAACCATGACACGCATGTCATGTGCCATGACTACACGCCATGCTCATGGTACGCTTGCGGTCGTTTCACTAGCTTCACAAACGCTAAATTTGGTGTTACGTGACCTGAATGGATGAGGAACGTATATGACTGGCGCCAACGAGATAATCATGATATGCGTGTCCTATAAGAACATGACCACGTACCGCGCTCACGAAGCGCTCGCGGCCGTTTCGCTAGCTTCATATATGTCAAAATTGACACGTTCAAACATAATAATCATGACGTGTGCGTCATGTAAAACATCACTACATGCTACGCTAATAGCAAGCTCGTTGCTGTTTTGCTAGCTTCACATATGCCAAGTTTGGTATTTCTTGACGTGGATTGACGACGAAGGTATACGACTGGTCCAAACGTGATAATCATGACATGGAAGTCATGTAGGACATAATTTACGTCCGCTTCTTAACGTTGTGGTGATTTTCCAACGACAAATAACCTTCCTTCTTCATGCTTCGCATACAATCGATTGCCACTGTACAAGGGATCTGCCAATACCTTTTAACACCAAAGTGTTTTTACCGTGGTCCACTTAGATCTCAGTGAAGTATTTTTGTCACGGAAATGACTTTGAAAAAATATGCACGTTCAGAATACAAAGAAAAATGTTCCGTCAATGGAATTCGAACCCATGACCCCTGGGTACACCACAACAGATGCTGGGCACGCTATCCAGTGTGTTACGGTAGCGTACGTCGTATGGTGGGAGGGATACGCTTTTTATATCTACAAATCTTTTCTTACAGCATTCTTGGTTAATTGCAGTAGTGCATCATGGCCATGATATTCGCCATTAGTTCGTTCGACGCGGCGTTTATAAGCGTCCGTCCGATTCGGCGCGATTCCAGCGAGAGAAGTGCTGTTTTGTCAAGGCCTTAATACGCCCCCAGGGGGCGACCTTATCCCAGACGTCATAAAGTTACTGTATATGCTACCTTTACATAGCATATACAATAACTCCAAGGCATCAACGTCGCTCATAGCATCCATCCATACCAAACAGATCAACGACGCTCGTCGGGTTAGTCTGACTTTCGCCACGTACGCACGCCCCGCGAACAATCGCGACTGGCCAAAGGGAAGATACGAGATGCGTTGCGTTTCCCTCTCTCTGGGCAGTGGTGCTTAACTCGAACATGCCATGAATAGGCGATCTTAGCCCAAGCTCGGCGTCCGATCAATCACACTCTTCTGGCTGTCATATTGCTTTCTTCTGTTTCGTTCTCACCATTAACAGCTACTAGTGCTACCACAAGCATCTATCGCCACATGAATTTGCTTAATCATTGTTCATGTATGTTAGGTGTCAAAATAGAGATGTATAACAAAGCGGCAAAGTGTATGCGTCCAGGTTAAGCAGTGCTAGGACGGTCAAACACCAATAGACAATGGCCAAGCTCTTTTAAATCAATGTGCAGTAAGCATTAAGCCACTTCTGTAAGAACACATACTTTTGTGTTTTACCAATTTAGATGACGGAGGGGTCAACCATGTTTTTTTTTTTTTGCTTTTTTCACTCACGAATGGTATCATATTTCAGTTGCAGAAGCGACAGTGCGGAATGCAACATACCACTCGGACGAGCAGAGCATCTACTGGTGGCTGTCCGTCACGAAAACCCACCGCGGCCGCAAGCCCGACTACGTCACACGACCGGCACGGTGCGGATTTCCTCGTGACACACGGGAGCCTCGTCTAATTCTTGCCAGGTGGCATCTGGGTCACCCAGTTGTCACGTGTGCGCCGAAACTGTCGCAGTGGAAAAAACTCTGGGTGCAAGAAAAGGTGGGGTGCAATCCCGAAATGAGACGGCTGCTTACGTGACGGGGTTTTTGTGCGTGTGTGTTGTGATAAAAACTGACAAAAAACATGACGAAGCCTTCTAGTCATCTCCGGAAATGCTCCAGTGGGCAAGATAAAATGAATAAATACTGTTGTCACAAAGTCACGTTACTACAGCTCTCTGGTGCATGCCCTCAAGGTATATATACATAGTCCTTGTATGGAGGCGCAGTCTGACAATGTCCGGCGTACTATTTCACTGTTTAAACTTGCACAATGCGATTATATTGTAACATCCATACATTAAAAATGGTGCCATATAATTGGAAAGGACTGCCCATAGAATTACAAATGAAATAGAAACGCCCACAGTTATTGACACTCGCAGTACCGGGGACTATGGCACCTATATAAATGGCACATGCCCAGCAGTCAGGCGGACTTCAGTTGGTACTTCCGTCTGGAATTCCCCTTCGCGGATGAAATGTCGCACGTTCATGAAGTTGAACCGAGCTGTAGGGGTTACGTTGTGTCAAAATTTCAGCGACCTTGCCTAATAAGATGCTTGATAGAATTGAGAGGCACTAATTTGAAGAGTTGCATTTGATCATTTCATCACGTGGCATTACATAACCCGGGTTCATAGCTTAGAGGGCATGTCATACTGTTTAGATGTTATTTGATCATACTTATATTACTCAACAGTTTGGGTTTTTTCAGGCCTATGCAGGAGAGGGCGCACGAAACAAATTAAAACTTCGTATTGCGGAATAGAAAAATAAATAGAAAATATGCAGTACAAAGCAACCACAGCAACGATAAACACATAAAAGCAATAAGGGAAGAATTTGTGCATGTTTTTCACTGGGTATAAAAAAAACTATGGACCGTTTCCCTGAATGAAACCCTGATGGGATGCGAGGCAACAGTAGTGCGCACGGCGTTCACCTGGGTGAAATGGGCGTCAATGTGGGTGCTGGAACAACGGCTTGAAGCGAAGCTCGGTGTAGCGTTTACTCGAATAAACGTTTGTTTGAAACGCTGAGGCACGGGAGGTGGGACGCGTTGAAGACGCTTGCGCTCGGCTTCCTTGGCTCACGTCTCGTCGGTGTTGCCCAGACGCCGTCTGTATTCTCGAACATGATCGGTGTTCTTAACTCGCACCTCGTCAGTGTCACTGCCGACGCTTGCGTTTGGCTTCTCTGCCTCGCACCTCGTCAGTGTTGACATCGCCATTCACGAACGCAATCGGCTTTGCTAACCCCCGCAGTGCCAGCGACAGCCGGAAAAGGTTCGCGCACACTGGCGGGAAGTATGCCGCGAAGGCACCCCGCCCATCGGCGCGATCGCAGGGCAAGCAGCGGCACGCTGCAGCGCGCGCACTAGCCGGCTCACGGCTTCTTCTCGCCGACAGATGATGACCGCGTGAGGAGTGGGCTCGAGCATTGCGAGTAGGGTTGAGGGTGATATGAGAGAGAGCTGACACGCGGCGAGCGCGCGGCCAGCGAGGGAGACGATAGTTACAGCGCGAGAACAAAGCGACGGCACAGAGACAAGGACACCAAAGAAACGAGCGCTCGTATCTTTCGTGTCCTTCTTGTCTCTGTGTCGTCGTTTTGTTCTCGCGCTATAACTATCGTCATGCCATACCAACTAGCCCAAGCTGCCACACTTGTAAGTTACAGTGAGGGAGAGAGACGTCACCGCGCACTGCTAGGAGGGCGTGAGCCACTTGGCACCACTTCAACCCCTGCGGTGAGGGTAGCGGTGCAGACGAAAGGATAAGTGCCCTTTGAGCGCGTACACTTTGCCGCGAGCATCATTTGCATGAGGTCACACAAAAAAGCTTAGTGTCGTTCGCTGAAAAGTACACTTGCCGGCAAGTGTGTTCGCCAACCTCACTTCGCTGCGACGAAGTTTGTAGCCTTGGTACCAGTGACTTGTACGGAAATGCGCTGTTGCCTATAGCAGCGCTCTTACTATTTGTAAACCATTGTTTTTGTTATAATTAATACTGCGATTTATAAAACAAGTCATAAAATACAACCAAAACTTCGCTACTCTCATCGTCGGGCAATTAGTGGCCATGTCTGCTAGGGGTATGCGGCAGCCCGTGCACAGCAATGGCTCCATCCATCGCATGGTATTTCCAGGCATATTTGCACATGTGCAGGTGAGTTGTTCTCTCGTCGTTTAAGCGGGTGCCACAGGTGCTACTTGCATGAAGACAACGTGGTCCGACGATAAGACCCTATGCGTAAATATAACAAATATGCGTTGTGCTACAAATCTATCAATTGCCAATGCCGTAATTTTTTAATGTGCACTTCACTTTCTCGTGTAGCAGCGAACTGCCAAAATGAGACCTCGTTAGCGTAAGTACACTCTCTCAAAGTGCACTTATGTTGCCACGTGTGACAGGGGTATTACACAGGCTAGTAACAGAGCTGCTTCGCATCTAAAACAGAACTAGGAAACATGACAGCATCAAATTGTAACGTAATTGACACACAGATGCAAGCTGTTGAACATGTGTAACAATGTGCGAGTACATGCCCGACACATCGTTTTAGCAATTATTTGCGCACAGATACCGCAGGATCTATTGCAGTGCCTCTGAATGAAATTTCAGCAGCGATGAAAATGATCGAAGTATTTCAGCACTGATGACGTCAATCGGCAGTTCATTCGAAATCTCTATAACTGCGGGAAAAAAATACTTACATGGGTTACAACGTGACAGAAATTGGCGTATGCATTTTCTTGTTGTTAGTTCTGCTGGAGCGATGGTTCGGAGCTTTTAGGTAATCGTTCCTATTCAGTGTGAAGCATTTGTTAGCGAACTTCAACGACATTGAGCGTATCTATCTATATCTATATGTCTAGCCGCCTAGGACTTTTAGCTCTCCTAGCCATTTCGATAATGGTATCGATACCAAACCTGGTATGACATAACATGCCTGTATGAAGAACATATTTGATTAGCCATAACATGAAAATCATGACATGAATGCCATGATTGTCATGATTTACATTTCATTGTCCTGCAGCTCTTGCGGCGGTTTCGTTCACATGACATGTTGCAAACCTGATATGGTATGACATGATTGCATGGCGAACACAAGTAACCGACACTAACATGAGAATCATGGCACACAGGTCATGTAACAACATGACTACATGACACGCTCATGATGCACTCGCGCCCGTTCCGCTAGCTTCACATGTACCAAACTCGGTATTACGTGACGAGAACGGACGACATAGGTAAATGACACACACCAACATGATAATCACGACGTGCGTGTGATGCAACAGCATGACTACATGCCACGCTAATGATGCGCTCGCGGCCGTTTTGCTAGCTTCACACATGCCAAATTAGGTATTACATGACGTAAATGGATGACGAAATATATGACAGGTGCAAGCATGATAATCCCGACACGCGTGTAATGTAAGAACATGACAACATACTACGCTCATAGCGTGCTCGCGGCTGTTTTACTAGCTCGACATATACTAAATTTCGTATCACGTGACGTTAATATATGAAGAAGGTAAACGACACATCCAAACATGATATCCAAGACACAGAAGTCATGTACGGCGTCATTTACCTCCACCTCGTAACGTTGTACTGATTGTAAAGTGACATACCAACATTTCTCCTTCGTGCTTCGCATATCATCGATTCCCACTGTACATGGAAACTGCCAATTTTTTCAGTCAACAAAATTGTGTGAAACAAGAAAATGAAATTTCAGACCATCTAATGGTCATCGGCTAGCGCTATAAAACACGTGCTTGTACCGCAGCGCGGAAGCACTCTCCTGCATGACATACGAAAAATTAATCGAAGAGCCATGTTTTGAATTAATTCTAATGCATCATTCATGTTCATTTGGTGCGGGTCCAAATTATTGCTGCGTATTCGAGGACCATGCCAGCAAGTACGAGTTACCTGGGACATTTCGACGAAACAAGAGGACAAAAATGATTACGCTCTACGTTGCAAAGGATACCTACAGAGATGTCGGCTGTTTAAACAGCCTTGTACACATAATAAAAAATAACCGACTGACTACAATTACAATCACATTGAAATATAATTGATTACAATGGTACATTAGAGCCCCTGAAAACTATCTGATTGATAACAAAAAATGTAAGCAGTTGCTTTGTCGTTACTAAATTTTCTTCAAAATTTAATTGCTTTAACACAGTAACACACGTTTTCTCAGGTTACAACGAAGTACTACAGTTCTCATGATAAAGAGAAGTCTGGAGGCTTACGTGAACGCTGGCGAGTGCGGCTTCTGTGACGTAATGTTGCACGTTACATTGAAGAAGAGACCTTTCTCGAAGTTGTCAACAAAGCGAAAAAACAGCGCGTAACACAGCACAGTGACGGAGACGGACAAAGCGCGGAACTTACAACCAAGGTTTGTTTCATAAATGGGGGTATGTATAGCAGGCGGAACTTGAAAAGGAGGTAGAGGAGAACAGTGACACGGAAGAGTAACTTTTGTTATGTTTGTATGTGTCTGAAAAAAAAAATGTGGCTATGCCGTCATTCACTTGTTTAATACGCAAAGATCACTGATGAGGAGCGTTATCGAAAGTGCACTGACTCGCATAGCTGTTAATGTTGAACATTACATAGATCTCACGTGCTCGTTGATCTCTGTAGCGTCGAAGTATCTTGCATTGATCGAACAATGCATGCTATTCACAAACGGAGCTGTGCGCAGCTAAGTGGCTGCCAACAGAAACCCGCGTTAGATTGCGGTGTTCCCCGAGGAGGTCATTTATACAGCGGCCAGATTGCCCGATTTAACAGCGGCCGCATTAGAGGGGAATTTCATAAACAGCACAGAAACAACATTCAATAAACTTGATTGTTTGTTTTTTATCACACACGCGAGGCCCTCCGTCCTCTATGTTTATCTTATGGCACATACTAGAGAACTTATTTTTCGCGAAAAAAAAAACAACTCTGATGCCGGCTTTTTCTGCCACCTTTTTTTTAAACAATGTGACACCTTATGCAAATAGGTAATGACCACTGTTTTTGAAAGTGAGCTCTTTTCTTGAACACTAGTCGGTTCGGTTAGCTGTTTCAAGTCTTTTAAAGTATATACCTTCGGCTATGGAACACA